TACTCATTACTCTGGTTCATGTAAGTATACATTGATGTAAATCTGCAATGTCAATATTTTATTATTATCTTTTGTATGCGATTTCGATCCTGTTCTTTGTAATTTTTAACTTACACTAGGATTTTCGTTTGTGGTGTAGATCAAAATCAAAAAGGCGGACATAAAGGCATAAAGTCATGCTGCATATGCGTGAATATAATTATGTAAACAGTTTTATATGACATCGCTCATTAAATTAGGTTCCGCATCGTTCTGCGTCATTGCTCACTATAAACCGAGTTCAGTTTACAGCAAAATCCCCACATACTGATATTTGTGCCAAGTTTTATAAGACGACGGTCGGTTTTTTCTCGGTATCGTTTTACTTCCTTCCTTATTTTGAATTAGGCCACCAGAAATTCCCTCTGGACGTGGATGATAATATTATTCGTAATATATGTTACATAGACTGCACGGTGGGCGCGGTGGTTGGCAACTACCGCGCAACGTGTCACGGGTTCGATTCCCGCACGGAACAACTCTTTGTGTGTTCCACAGATTGTTATTCCGGGACTGAGTGTCATTTGTATGTGAACTTGTGTGTTTGTCAACGGATTCACGACACAGGAGAAAATCCTAATGTAGGGAAACGTTTAAAAAAATATAGTTAACCTTATCTGGAAAAACACTTTCGCCCTTTATTGGTTGTGCACAGACTTGCACGCATTAAAAATGTAACACACTAACTTGTTACCAAAAATAAGTCGAGTGTGATGAGGCGAGCCCCATTTTGAGGCCTCGATACTACTACCGGAAATAACTCAATGTTACTGACCCGAGACCAATAGCTCGGTTGAGTCGGTAATCGCACTCGTGATTAATAAGAAATACAATATACTTACATTCCTATTCCGTGATAAGGCTGTGAACACACTAGCGGCGCGCGCGAAATCGACGCGCGGGAAGTGGTTACAGCGCGCGTGCGCCGCGTACTGCTTCGTGACCGTACCCTCGCTACACTGCACGCTCACCAAAACTCAGCTCTACCTTCTGTCAGGACAGGTCGCACTCCTCAACAACTGTATTGGACAAGGTATGTGGTAGAATAAAACGCGGGTAAGCATGTTAGATAAGTTCGTAAACGAACAACTTGATCATGATACGGTTGTCTCAATATAAAAACGCAAATGAAAGGTAACTAACTACATTTACTAGTCAAAGATATCCTTAAATCAGAGCGTTTTATTTTTTGCAGCGGAAGCAAACTTCAAAGCTCTCATTGGGCTGATACCTGACATACCCGATTACATATTAGAAGATGGACAGAAGAAACCAACTCATGTTAAAGTCGCAGGCATTCTGAGCGACTTCTTGTCGACTTTATTATTGCTGCCTGTGAGTCTTGTACATATTATTTATACCTGTTATAGATAAGCTATCCATTTTACAAGTTGTTTTAAAAATATTTTGGATATAAGTTCTTGAAGTAAGTTAGGAACTATAGGCAATATTGATAAGCGTTTAATCAAACTCTTATAAAAATGAAGGACAACTTTTTTTTGTTATTGAAATTTATTAAAATGGTATTGTAGGACAACGTGGATAGCAACTGTAAAGCTTACATACTAACCGGGTTTATAAAGACGATGGAGAGGATACATTGGAAGAAGACAGAGCCTTTGTATTACCACACATTACTTCGGACTTTGGACCTGCTCTCTGAAATGACGCAGGACACTTACATTCACCACTTAGAGACAGGTGAGCATCTTCATTAAGCAGGAGACTAGGTGTTGAATTAGATCATCTTAATTACGTAGTTTAAATTAATATAGCAACTAGCTGTATTATTGTACGAGTTGCTGTAACATATTGTTTTTATAATCGTAGTATTAGTTACCATATTATCTGATTACTTGGACCTTTCTTAACATATTTTTTTGTTTCCAGTTCTCTCCAATGACCAACTATATGGATGTGATCCAGAATTCATAAGTGTATTAGACCGGCATGCAACTAACATTTGTCAAGAGTTACTAGTAGTGCTGAAGATGTTGGGCGACAACAGGGAGACTAAGAAACAATACAACTTGTCTCTAGAACTGTTCTGGCGGGTGGTGAGACGCGGGGAACTAAACGAGCGCCCCATGCTGAGCCTCGCGGCTAACCTGTGGATGTTGTCACAAAAAACGCAAGACTCCAATAATAAACTTGGGGTGAGTATTAGCTACTCAAACAATACATACACGACGTTGACCGATTAATGTTAGAAACAGTAATGTATTTTCTGGTTAACAAAATTGATTATTACATTTTTTTTTACAGAAATCAATGATTGCTGCGTTGAAAAAAGAAACAAATTCCACTATTCGCGTCTTACTTCAAAAGTTGGAAGAAGGATCAAAAAGTACCTAAGGTCACTAAGACCTTAGTTGGTGCTATTCCAAGATTTGCGGCGTTAATAAATGTCTCGATTACTTCTAGCATTATTTATAATTATTTTTTGCTCTAGAAGCCGGTCTAAGTGAAATGAGTACACTAACTGTACCTATGGCAGTTTCGAAAGATTTGCACTAAATATCTATTTTCTATAAATCTGGCGTCATAGTGATATCGCCCAATATTGTTAAAGAAGTTTTGTAATTAACTACTTACTTTAATTACCGTTAATTTCATAACAATTGAGAAATCTTGTTGCAATGATTTATGTTATTGTTGTTTATTTTTAAAAGTGTAAGAGATTTATTAAATCATTCCGTTAGTATAATATGTTTACTTATGTTTAGTATTTTTATATTTAATTCCATTACAGGTGCTCCATGTACATACAATGGTCACTGCCAAATGAAAAGATAGAAATAATAAATATATGTACTATGTATATTCATAAGTGCGTTTCATTCTGCTAAATTGCTCGTGTTATAATAACCAATACACTATCTAGTATCAACTATCTATACCAATAAGTTTTGTAATTACAATGCTATGATAGATTTTTCTAGAAAAAATGGTTATAAATGCGGCTAGTGATTGTCTATCAGGTAACGCACTGTTGGGTGCAATTCTAATTCAATGTGTCCCTTCGTCCAGCATACTCACCATGGAATCCTGATATTTCATGAATGTCAAAAAACTGTTCTGAAATAGTGCTAAATAGTGCCCAAAGGAAAAAAATAGTGCTCTTGTACTTGCGAAGTTATAGCCATAGTTCGATGAGTATGCTGGACGAAGGTTTCGCCCAGCATACTCACCTCCGTCCGGAGAATCTGTATACGCTTCAAACATAATTCATACTTCAAAAAATAGTTCCCAAATAGTGCCAAACGGTGCCCAAAAAGAAAAAACAGTGCTCGAATAACTTCGGAGTTATAGGCTTCGTTCAGTGAGTATGCTGGGCGTAGGTTCTACGCCCAGCATACTCACCTCAGTGCGTGAATATCGAACGAGCTATAGGTACAATTTACGTCTCAAAAAATTGTGCTTGAAATAGTGCCCAATATCAGTCCAATTTTTGCTTGACTTTTGACCTAGAAAACCATTAAATTTGATTGTAAACTTCTACATACATTACATTGAGTACAGTCGAATACAATATTATTAACTTTCTTTCTAACAATTTTTGTCTTGTGTAAATTATTAATTGTCTATGTAAGGGAGTATTTACTTTAGAATCGCAATATTATTAATTACACATTATTTTAATAATACTTTATAATAATATGATTAAGCCTTCGCGCGTCGCATGGGACCCCGGTAGCTAGGAACAATGATTTTATATATTTTGTCTAGATCACGGCGCTTGAAGGATTAAGATATCAAATGAAGTAAATCATGCATGAAAAATAAAGTTGCTGTTATTAATGCTTACATTACAACTGACAAAATTATTCAAAATAATCATTTTCCGGATCAAGGACGGTACCACAACGTTTACGGAATTGACCTGTATTCCTCATGTGATAAAGTTCAATATAGTGTGGCAGTAATGGATGCACGTACGGTCACATATTATGAATGTTAACAAAAGCTGTGAACTAGTTAACTAGAATTCTGATTACTTTGGCCCTTTAAATAGTAATAAATAACGTAAGTAATTAAAAATGTTTTTTATTGCTAAACCTTTCATTGATGAAACTATTGGAAAGAGTTTTAAAAATTTGTATAACTATGTCACAGTACTAGTTTTGACTGGTTATAAGTTTTGCCTGCAACATATATACAAAAAGAAACTGTATAATTTCCTTTTTACAATTTTTCAAGATATTAATTTTATTGGCTGCAAATGACTGTTTTTATTCAGACAAACACACAATGCAATGAAGTAATAGACTTCATTTACGCTTAAAGTTTCATTCATTTATTATTATTTATAAAATATATAATAATGCATTTAATCGAAAGTTTTTGACATGTGAGAAAATACCATAATTATTTCCAATAACATGAAGTCTACAATTAGAAAGTTTAATATTTTTGTCCAAAAACATGTGTCGACGACTGTACCCCATTTTACGTTAGTATGTAGAAGTTTACATTAAAATTTAATGGTTTTCTAAGTCAAAAGTCAAGCAAAAATTGGACTGATATTGGGCACTATTTCAAGCACAATTTTTTGAGACGTAAATTGTACCTATAGCTCGTTCGATATTCACGCACTGAGGTGAGTATGCTGGGCGTAGAACCTACGCCCAGCATACTCACTGAACGAAGCCTATAACTCCGAAGTTATTCGAGCACTGTTTTTTCTTTTTGGGCACCGTTTGGCACTATTTGGGAACTATTTTTTGAAGTATGAATTATGTTTGAAGCGTATACAGATTCTCCGGACGGAGGTGAGTATGCTGGGCGAAACCTTCGTCCAGCATACTCATCGAACTATGGCTATAACTTCGCAAGTACAAGAGCACTATTTTTTTCCTTTGGGCACTATTTAGCACTATTTCAGAACAGTTTTTTGACATTCATGAAATATCAGGATTCCATGGTGAGTATGCTGGACGAAGGGACACAATTCAATTAGGAAAACTGTTTTCCTACTTTATTCGAGTATTTGAGGTATAACATCATTACAGATACACTTTTATGAATAACCACAGTTGCTTGACAACAATGCTGTAAACGTACGATATACTTACATACATTGACTAGTTCCATTGCTACTAATTGCAACCTCTATTCTTTGTTTCAATGTAGAATTTGCAAATAGTCAATTTCTACAAGTAAAACATGTGTTTTAAATAATACATTACATTCCCTTCTCTTCTTAATTTTATAAAAATCAAGATAACGTTGTTTATATCTATTTTAGATAGTTATTCCAAGATGATGTGAATGCGAGTAGATCCCTTACTATGAATATGATAGTGATGAGGTTTGCAGCCGGTGCGCGGTAGCAGATGTTGGTGGCGAGAGTGGCAGCGGGCGCAGCGCGAGTGGTCGCGTTGCTGCAGGTGACCCCTACAGTAGTTCGCCGGATGGAGTAAGCGGACATTGTCCGGCAAGACACGCTTGAGTGGTGCGCGCTCTGTTGCGCCGATCTTTCCCCTTCGCAATATTGACGCCTATAAAACCTTGTCATTTCAATAATGTGAAGTTACTTTCATTCCAACAGAAACGAAGAATACAACTCGACTATCTGAAAAGTAATCTTCGTGCAAAAATCTTATCTGGGTGTAAACCCATTTCCAAAATGTCCAAACTCGGATTTTTGGTACGTTATCGCTAGTGGTTTATTTTATGCGCTGAACAAGTCGTGACACAATATAGTTAATCTTTAAATACTTTTTGCAGTTGTTTGTCTGGGCCGTATGTGAAGGAGTTATTGCTAATGAAGAACAAAATGGATTCGTGCAGCCATTGGACTTTGGGCCACTTTTTGATGCAGGTATTTAATTTATAATATCTAATATTCAGGATGTAGAGAACACAAACAGCACTAACTGCTAATGCTCGCACGCTAATATTTAATATAATTATTTAGATTTTCACTTTTATCGTCTTTTCAGGCGCTACTTCGCTGGCTTCAGAACCTATCGCGGCTGCAGTGCTAAAAGTAGATAAAACCCAATATCCTCAACTTTTTGACACTATTGTTAGTAGTTCCATCGATTCCTTACAAACTCGTGTAGCACCTATAGAAAAAGCCTTTTCTGCCGATAATTTCGGCTTTAATCCTATTGCCAGTCAAAGCTTCCTGCCGCCGGGGAAACCTGCTAGACTAGTAGCGCCGCCGAGACAACAACATAATCAACCACAAGCGATTCCAATTGGGCAACAGCTTTCTCCATTGAGATATGACATTCGCACGGTGCATGATGCTGACTATAAAGTGTACAAACCTGAGGACGAGGAACAGGGAGAAGAAATTTTAGCTGCTTTGAAAAAAAATCCTAGCGTGGCTGCTTATTTTAAACCTACGCACACCAATGTTGAAGTGGCTCATCCACTGAACTATCGCAAGGAAGAATTAAACGAAAATTCTGAAATTGAACAGAACTACAAGCCAAATGCTTATATTCCAGGACCAGCTCGTATTCGACGATACACTAGCGGAAGACAAAGGGAAAACTTGAAGAAGAGCAGCGATGATGACGACGATCCCTATAACTACAACGTCGAATACATTTCTAAACCAAAAGCATTCGACAGTAGTTTGTACAGCAGTGCTTATAAAGAACAAAAAGACCCCAACAAGGATTACGAGTATCCTTACAGCTATGACTCAGGGTACGACCACAAGGAATATGAAAGAATAAAGGAGCTGTCAGAGAAGCAGGCTGCAGAGATCAAGCAAAATCCAGGAAACTGTAAAGAAGTGAAAAAAGACGGTATGACCTGCACGACGTGTAAAGATCCCAAAACTGGAGGAAACTTTGAGTCATGTTCCTATGTCGCTGAACCAAAGAACAACAAATATGCCTACTCTAAGGAAAGAAAGTTTGACAGCAACGACGAACCTGATGAAGCTGAGGCACCGCAACAAAGTGAACCAGCGAAGAAATCTGAAAAATATGTCCAGTCTGGCGAGAGCAGCGAAGAGAAGTACACTAAGGCAGCCGAACCCGCACCAAACAATGATGATAATTCTGGAGAAAAGTATAAGGCTTATTACATACATAATTCAAAACCTACACCTAGTGAAGCTTTACGTGCTGCAGAAGACAAACAGAGTTCGGAAGAGGAGGGAGACGGTTCTTCAGGCAAATCTTATGACTACAAAAAAGCTTTGCCAGGTTTTTATACTGATAATGAGCCTAAAAAAGACGTGGAACATGTATTAGCAGAATTCAAGAAAAAAGATAGGTCGTCATGTAAAAAAGTTCAGAAAAATGGAATGACTTGCTACCAATGTATCGACAAAAATGGTCTGAAAAATGAAGAATGCATGTTTGTGTCAGAATCAGCGCCCAAACGAAGCCATTTAGCGTATCAAGAACTGAAAGAATTTACATCTAAGCCTGCCACTCTCGACCAAGGAAATGAGGGTGCTGAAAGTAAAACGGTGACTACAAGTGCTCCACCAGCTCAAAAGTCTGCTGCGTATGTAGTAGATAATACTAATTACGGCAAAAAGTTAAAGCGTAAGAAGGCACCGCAGAGTATTGCTGCAGCAGCTACCGTTCCAGTTGCCAGTGCAGTTAAACCTGCACCTATAGCAGCAAATGCACGTAAAACTAAAAGGAGCGTTGAAACTGAAGCAGAACAAAATGCACGGATTGTAGATGTAACCAATATTGCCCAGCCTGAGGAATTCGCGGGAAGCGATTCCAGAGGAGCTTTTTGGGCAGATACGATGCCAAGGTACAGTGCATCGTTAGGCGTAACGTTGCCTGAATTCATGCTGTCAAGGTCGGAGCACGAACTTATGTTTGATGAAACCGTCGCCAGCGCGTAAAAGATATTTAAGGCTTGATTTGTTAGCCAACAAATTCAGTATTAGTAGAGCGTGTCGGTTGTACAACGCTTTAGATAAAACCTGAACTAAAGGTAACGGGTATTTGTTGTGTAATAGTAAAATAAGATTTCACGGACTGACGTGCTGCGAGTCAGAATTGAAAAACAACAAATATAATATTCGCAGCCACGCCGTGCAAACAAATTAACGTATTGGTAGTGTTTTTGTTGGCTACTCATTATAATATAATTACGAATAAAGTGGAAATGTGTAGTAAGGCGTATGTAATACAAAAATTACTTTAGGATGTCGTACCTACCTACTGAACAATTTCGTATGATGACTGTTCGTTTTATATCAAAGTACTTATTTTACGTTGTTAACTAGTTATAGATGTTATGAAATTATTAAATTTGACGTTATTGTTGTTATATTGGGCTTTTCTTTTAACTTTTTTACACCGATGTGATTGTCATATATTAGAAATAATTTATATTTTTTTTAGGAGTTAATTGCAAAATGTTTTTGATATATTAAAAAGTTCACTACCTATTATTATTGCCAAAGAAATATCTAACCTAATCTGACTAGTGTTTAAGTTAACAAGAGAAACCGACAAGTGTCGTTGGCCGGACAGCTTTCCAACGAATTTATACGACTGTAAGATACCTATGTATGTACCTATCTATCTAAAGTCTGAGTCAGTTGTTTGAAAAGAAAGCTCCGGTCTCACCCCCCATAGAAGTGCTATACATCCATATTAGATAATTAAATAAAATAGATACATATAACTTTTGAAATAACATATCACATAAGTCGGTATTTGTTTGTGTAATCTGTACCTATTTACATATTTATGGTGGTCGGAATCTAACTGTAGCTAGTTAGGTTCGAATGCTAGGCACATGTACCAATACCTAGATGAAACTGTATCGTCAGGTCACAATAGTTGGCATGATATTCGGTCAGTGTCCTAGATGTCAATACTGTTTTAATGCTTCTATTTTTGCTGGTAATTGTCCAAGATACGAACGTCACTAAGGAACAAACTCGTATGAGCAAAAGCAGGCTACCGACTTCGGAAGAAAGTAATTAATTTCAGTCGTAAGCCGGTCATACAACAGCACAGTGTTCTGTCTGTTCTTGATATAAATAACGTTGTGTAAGATCGGAAGCCAATAATAAAATTGTAGATAGTTGTTTGTTTTGTGTAGTGACTGACGGACTAGGCCGTAGCCAACCAGTACCGGTCGAATTGTGTTCTTGAAGTTATTGTAAGTATTTAATATCGATATTTTACTTAAAATGAAATAAATGTTTTTTTTTTTTTACTATCTATGCCATCTGTAGTTATTTTATTAGGGTCGTTAATTTGAAAAAAAAAATGTACTTTCATTTTGATTAATCATAGACATATCCCTAAGCAAAAAATGCAGTGGGTTGGAATTTTTAAATAGTAAACTTAATTGCAGAAAATGAAATGATAAAACAATTTGTAACTTATCCGATACAAAGAATGCCGCCGCTGTGTATCGACACTGAAAAAAATTATTGTCGTTGTGCCAAGAAGTCAATTGAACAAAAAATGGGGTTATATTATTGCGCAGCGGTTTTGATCAGAGGCTCGCAACGCTGGCTGCGAGACTTATTTTTATCGTATTTACAATTTTAAGCTAAGTTTAGACTGACTCATTGGCCATTGGTCAAGTGATCGAAGTGCAATACCAAAAAAATTGATATTGAATTGAGTTCGTACATATGTACATAAAGTAGGTAACGCCTTAAATCCCCGAAGAGGTAGACAGAATTGCACAAAACATTTGTGTTAGTTCGATAGTATCAGTACCTACTGTGATAAAATAGTTCAGTGGTCACAAGCGGCTACCTAACCTGGGTACTTGTGGGGTGACGAAAACATGGTGAAAGTTAATTTATGCCTACGTTTTCAGACCATCTACTATAAACAATGAATGAGTTAGAATACGATGAAGAAGGATATGTCGACGTCAATTCCTTACCACTCAGACCTCCGCAGCCCATAATACCACCAGAGCGACCCGTACGTCGCCCCTGGCATCCCGTTATGTGGGACGACTCCCTAGCCAGTATGCCTTCACAAGAACAGAGGGAGACAGATGAGGTAATTTATCTAGCTGCACCGAATTGTCCAAAAACTAATTAATTTGTAACTATATTTATCTAATTACCTACCTACTGTACAATGGAAACAAACCCCATAACACTTTATTAAAGTTATGTCCCTGTAAATAAACCTTATAGTTAACCAATTACTTACCTAAAATATAATGCTCAGCGGACAATGGTTACAACTGCAGAGGATCACCAATTTCTTATAAGTTCTTGAGACTACTCCAGTTGCTTTATTCAGGTTCCGCGGCGCTGGGAGTCGCCATACATTAAATTTGCTGAAGCCCATCAACTCAAGAATCCTCGTGGTCTTATTGACTTCGATCCCCCGGAGGAAATGGTCAGCTTAGTCACTTTAGCCATTCTTGTGTCAGTGATGCAAATAATCGCCTATCTTAATCTTCATGATTCAAATTATTTCTGGTATAAGTAGTGTTCGTCACTGTATGCTACATCTATCTTTGCATATATTATTAAATTTTTATACATTATATATCTAAAACTCGGCTGACAAACGTTGAAGAGCTGCTATTTATATTAGTACACAGTGCCACTCTTTATGACTAGGCAGTCCCAAAAACAAAAAATGTGGGTATTTCTAGCGACAGCCACCAACCAACGCTTGGAAGCCGTGCTTAGTGGGTATTTATCTATGGCCACATGCCGCTATTTCCTTTGTCTCTTATTCTTTCCCAAGGCGACTACTTTTCATATTCAGTAGTAACCTTTTATGTCTCAATTTGAATGTTTAATAGTAAGCTGCATTGGATCGCAGATAACGCGCAAATCTTTTCGCTAGTGGGTTGTATTATAGTCCTCAATTTTTATCCTGTTTAGTACACAAGATCTCGATAACTTCATTTTCACTTGTTACTACACTCTTACTACCATAAGGTCTAGAGAACACTTCTCATCAAACTTCTTTTCATCTCCAACCATATGAGTATTCACAATAATCACTGCGAAAAATAAACAGTAATTTTCAATAATAATCTAGTTTTGATACATAGTCTTTTTTCTAATAAGTGATTTCTATAATTTGGTTATTAAATCAAAGTAAATATTATTATACTACATATTTGTAGTAAAAAAAAATATATAAAATTTCTTCGTTGGTAAGTCGAAAATCACATACCACAGACAGAGACGATTGAGATTTAATACAAGCTGTATGTACGCTTTCCTATATTATAAAATTATAAATTTAACTCGAGTGAGTGTGCCAATGTTGTTCAAATATTTAAACAAAATAAATCATCGAGCTTTTAACAGTTTAAAGGAGGAACAAACAGATATGCGTAAACTTCATTATGTCTATCACGATATATTTTGTGTGCCAAGTTATAATGTTTATTTGAATGAAATGTTTCAAATACATTAATAGGAATGAGTAAAATTATTGTTTTAGAAAAAGTATTAATTTAAAGTTATAGAATCTAACGGCCTGGTTTTTTAAATCCTAAATTTATATTAACTCTTTATTTATCCTAACTCTGTATTTTCCATACCTATAAAATATATAACAGTGACCACAATTTATGATGTGAATGTTCTCATAACCAAAATAACTTCCTGTCGTAAAATGTTTATTACATGTCTTGGTATGACCATACTTTTTATATATTATTTGTACGGATGATTTTTATCATTACACATCTAGAACTGTTTGAATGAAACGAGGATCGTTGCCAAATATACGAGACGTCGGAAAAAAATATAGGACAGATATCAATATCACAGGAGGATTGGACCGTTACAATGTATGTGCTCCCAACAACTGCGTAGCTATAGCGTTATTGCAATTTCTTACTACTGTTTAAGCGATAAAATCGAAAAATTGTTTTATTTATTTATGGTATCGATAGACAGGAAAAGCCTTGATGTGAGCGTTCATGGGTAGCGCCATGACGTATAAGATCAAAATACATTTTGCACAGCTCAGTTTGTTTATTTTTTGGATACTCATAACTTCTCCGTCTAAAAACAGACGCGAATCGATAAGCTGCGTTTTTTTTTCTATAATAATTATGTATGATGGGACTAAAATCAGTGAAATCATAAGTTTCTTAAATGTATTGCAAATACGAAATGCTACGCTAATAGCACACAATATTTTTGGAGCATTCTACATTATAAAGCGGAACATTTTTGTGTTAAATAAAAAGGAATTCAAAGAGTTGAAATTGCTTTAATATGCTTTTTTCTAAAATTATATTATCATCATATATATATGTACATACATAAATCACATATGTAGCGATAAATATTATAATCATAACAAAACATTGTGTACTATTATAGCATGGTTGTAACTGGGTATATCGAGTGGACGTTGCCATTTTCAGTCTCTAATTCTATATTTTATTCCAGCCGCAACCACAGTCTCGAGAGTACCCACATAAGCAACGTATACGTAACCTGCGAAGGCTCATCGCCGATGGTAAAGTGAAGCCCACACCAGAGACACTCATATTTTTCCTTTGTAACAAATTCGCGGTTTCTGACGAACGGCAGAAGAAGATCGTCATCTAACAATAGGTTTACGGCAAAAACTACAAGTATTGGTGTGTCTATTAATAACAATAATATTATGAAATAAATTTTGTTTTGTACTCTTAAAATGTAAATATAAAATGATATTTTTTAAAGTCGCGTAATTATTTTAATACCCTCAACAATGAAATATGTACAACAAATATAACATTATTATTAGAATCGACGCCGTCGCGACTGAGCCGAGCCGGGTCGGGGGGCGGGGCGAACTTGCAAAGACTCGAGGCGGAGTAGGTACATATACTTTATATTCTCATAAAAATTATCTACACACAAGACTTTTAATATAAAAACAAAATCGAGTTTCTCAAATACAACTTATATAAAGAAGTTCAAATAGGGATTCGACGCGGGGCGCCCCACGACTCGGCGGAGGTCCGGGGCGGGCCGCTCACGTCGCCGCGCTAGGTGGCAGGCGGCGGCGCGGCCGGGGCCGGCGGCCCGCCCTCGCCCGCGCCGGCCGCCGCGCCACTGCCCGCCCCCTCCGCCGCTCCGCTGCCGCCGGCTTGACCCGGCTGTTCCTCGTCCTCTTCCTCCTCGGGGTCGAACTTCAGCATCAGCTGCTTGAACTGTAATAAATACTCGCTCAGTAAGGACCACGTCCACGGTGGCGAATCAAAGCGGTGAAACAATAGTAACGTCTCTTACCTCGAGGTAATCATCGACCAGTCTCCGGCGGCCGCGCTCGTCTAGTTCGTCAGTAGCGAGGTCGTCTTCTTGTAATTGTGTGATGGTGGCCTTAGGCTCGAACACAGGCGCATGGCGCCGAGATACTGCTTTTTCATACACCTTCACGTTTTCAGATGGTGAGTATTGGTTGATTTTTCTGTTAAAATAAGTGGGTGAACCTTAGTTATATCATAAATATCAAGGTACTTGTGGTAGATGTCTCTAGAGACTGATGTAATTTACAAAAAAAAAAAAAATATATTTCAATGGGCTAGCTATGGGAACATTGGGTCAGACAATTTACAAGTGACAAAGAATAGGTAAATACGAACGCGTCCGTGAAGCCGTAGAGTTGCTTGAGATGCTGTTTGAGCACGAGCAGTAGCAGACAGCCGCGCGCCTGTCGCATGGCGTCCTGTAGCGGCCGCGTGCACTCCGGCATCTGTGCCAGCAACGTCTCTGCTTCTTCGTCGTCTTCTTCCTCGTCCAGCGCCTCTTTCTCTTCTGTACTTGGTTTATTCAGTCCCTGTATAGCGAAGATATTCGTTTATATTGTTTTATACTACTATCATTAACAACAAAACTTATGGGCCGTCTGAGCAGAGTAAACCGCTAAGCAGTCAACAGTGACTGCTACAGAGCCTGACTATGTAGGAATTGAATGAATTATATAAATATATAATTCATTCAATTCAATTAATTATATAATATAAGATAGTAATTGTTCAAAATCTAATTTAAAGTAACATATATTTACCTCACGAAAAACTTGTAATAAATTAGATCCCGATGTCGATATAATAATATCAATGTGATGTATAATAAATAAAGGTTCATCTTGAACTTGAAAGGGAAAATAACTCAAATTATCAGCCAAGTACAGCATTTGATCCAATGGAGCAGTCTGGAATGACGTAAAACATGTTATTATAATGTATTGCAAAGTGAAAAGACAGTCTGCAATTCAAAATTATCTTATTTAATAATGAATTTCTTAATAATTTTGGGATTCGTAGTGTTGTCGTCGAACGCGGATCCACGCGAAACACAATGGGTCTTAGATACCGGTCACAGAAATATTAAAAAAGGAGAAGTGGCAAGGAGGCGTGTCGGTGACGCTTGCAATTGAGCGTTCCGATCAATGTAGGAAAATATGGCCGTCACCACGAGTTCGTCTGTTGTCACGCGCAATCGTAAAACAAACGAGAAAATGCCGCCTAGTGCAGTGGTTTCGTGCAGAAATATAAACCAAAACAAAAACTGTAGAAGTCATGGCATCGGTTACCATGTGTAAGAACAAATATTTACAACATTTATCTTAAAAATCACTAAACAACAAGTTATTACTTTATTTCTGTTTCTCCGACTGTATTATGTCTACATTAATACATTGCTCTTTTACAACCACCTTAGTGTGACACTGAGTAACTAAACCAGCAATGTATAAGTGACTTAACGAAACGCTCATCAACACGCGATGTCACATGGTGCGTCCGCTGCTCAAGTCCGCCGTCTTTGAGCGAGATAGTGATGTGGTCGTGGAGATTTAGCAAAGTCTATCGACAAGAAAGTCGACTACAAATAGTTATATTTGTTCACTTGTAATGGTTATAGTATTTTACTTTAATCTTCATAAATGAACCATTATCTTTGTATGCATTATAATGATCAGCATCGCATAGTCATAATTTTGTACTCACAGAGCAGTCCCCAATGAGTAACCACATAATATTATTAATAAAAGCAGTCATAGAATATACAACATTAAAACTTCATTAATTAACCAATAGCGATACCTCCTTATCCAAATTATATCATTATAACTACATACAACTTGTCTACAACTTGATTTGTAATTATTTTTGAAATAAAATATTTTTTAATAATTAAATGATATTTTGTTGGTTTCATGTCGTTTTTACTTTATTTCCAAAACCTTTGTAATAAATTTATCGATATATTCATCGGGGGCTATCGATATCGTCAAGTCACTACGGCGACTGTAGATCCCCCCCTAACACACAGTGACAAATTGTTTTAGTGTGAGTAAATCATAGGAGAATGTGCGCTGTCGTTTAAAGAATAAGGCTTATATTTGAATTGAACTGTGAAGAACTGTGTGTGTAATATTAGTTTTATGGAGGGGCAGTTGTGGCTTCACCGATTTTGCATACATTTTTGACGCCACACCATATCTCCTTCTTTAATATATCAGTGATACCAGCAATCAAATGGTTGAACATGCACTTGCTTTCGCAAAACTTACAGAGACGTCATCAAATTGTTTGAGTAGTGATAAAACCAACGCTCGTCGTTGCGGTCGCGTATTGCGAAGCAATGAATATAAGAAACCATTAAGAGCCGTTGGCAATTCATCTTGATCCTTTTTCCTGTAAATAGAAGAATATTGTAATAACAGATAAACCAACTAACAACTCTTCTAAGATTTTATACATAATAATGAGCACATACCTAAACCCTCTTATAACACCTTTATTTGCATTAACTTGCAATATTTTTTGCAACTGATAAGAAAGTTTGATGCCAAGTTGTGCCTTCATGTGAATGAAACCTGGATATTTCTTGTCAATTTCTTGGAGATGTTTGTCTGCCGTATGAGATACTGTCACTTCCAGATCAGTACTCATGCAAATCAAATATGGAACAATCTGAAACATAATAAAACGGTTTTTACATCGATCTCCAAAGCAGGGATGCTGCGGATCCCCTTTTTTCCGCATCCGCATCCGCGGAAAAAAGGCGGGCAAAAGCTAGTATGTATACTAGTAGTGTACTGCTAGTATGTATACTAGCTTCTGCCCGCGATTTCATACGCGCAGTCCCGTTTTCTCCTGTTCCCGTAGGATTTTCAGGATTTTTCACCGTCACCGATTCAACGAAGTCCAAAACAAAAATCATTGCTTTCCTATTGGTCAGTCAACACATGCGGTTGACACGTGCCACTCGCCGGGACCACCCTTTTCTTTCTTGTCGCGACCTGCTACAAATCCGCATCAGCTCCGCATCGATTTATGCGGATGCGGATGTCAAAATCAATATGGATGTTCCGCATATGCGGATGCGGATGCGAATAGTAATAAATGTAGTTTTTTACACTCGGCCAGATTATCTAATCTACTATTTACTAACTACCTACTACTTCTTCTGGCCAGATAGCCAGAAGAAGCGATCAGCGCCGCCCATGTTCCCGCAATACCAGAGTTGTTAAAAATTAATTACCGGTTTTGTAAAAATCAATACAATATTTACAATATTATTATCTTTTACAACAAGGAGCTTATTTTTAAGCTGATCTATAGAAGTTCCATTTAACCATTTAATTTTTAATGGCCAATGAATAATTATAAAGATGAAATTCAATTAGATGTGGCAGTTTCAATGAATCAATAAAAAATAGTACATAGTTAAGTATACCTGTACAGGGTGCACGAGACCTTGTGCCAGTACTAGTTGCACGACTTTCATGGCACTGGAGCGTACTACGGTGCTGGGGTGCAGGAAGGAGCCGAGGATCTCCTTCAGGTACAACTGGATCACCGTCGACGCCATACCCGAAGACACGTCACCCATCTCTTTGAGATTCTCATGTTTTGATCTCTTTGACCCTGAAAATTCGTACATATTTCATATTACACTTATGGAAGAAAATGAACAAGTGCATTTTTATTTAGTACACCCTAACTTGATGCTTATTCATTAGTAAAAGTTTAATAAGTCATAATTTTTTTAAACTATTTCAAAGTTAATAAAGTGTTAACTGTTCAAAATAAAATGTACTTACATTCTTTATCTTGTCTTATCATTCTTTGCTCCTCTTCTTGTAAGTACATTTCAATGTTTCTCAGTACGTCAGCTTTCATCTCAATCGGCGCTAAATCGGATGTAAGAAGTTGGTGATAGAATTCCTTTAGTTCAGGTCTCAACATGAACTCGTAATGCCTCACGCAGACCGAACCTAACGCTTTCAGAGTATGGGACACAAAGTCCTCATCTTCGAGTCCAACAAAAAACATCAACGTTGTAAATATCTGTTCTTTTATATCCGCCTGTGGAGAAAATTTGATAAAATCAATTAATGAAAAGGGGAAAAGAACTTTTTGGGTTTTTTGTGAGTTCAATAAGTACTTACTGGTAGTCCTTCGATGACACGCGCTTCCGTGAAATCAAAGTACCGTAATAAAAGTCCTACGATAAACAAAGCGCGTCTGAAATAAGGCCTTGAGTGTAATGCTCTCGTCATTTCAGGATTTCGCTGCCAGCAGTGTTTCCATTGAAGCAGTACACCTGGAGAGGGTTTATTTTGTTACATATCAAATACTCATAAACATAAGAATTAACCTGTGGAGTGTCGGACGCAGATCTACGCGAGAAACGAATGTGTTTTTTATTGTGTCTCATAAATCGACAGACAAGAGGTTAAAAGCTAACTTTGAGCGTACAGAGTGAAATATTTTATAGAAATACCAGATACACATTTGTAAATACAAATAATAGAAATAGTATAACTCACCATGGTACTTATTGAACACATCCCTTATAAGTTTGTAGTTGTGCGTGAGGTTGTTGACGATGGCTGCGAGACAAGCAATGCAGGACGCGATGACGAGCTGCCCTCGTTGTAGGATCAGCTTCACGGCGTCCTCCTCTAACTGTGCCAGGAACACCTCGCTTGGGTGCTCCATTAGCGGCACTACCAACTCTAGTGTAGAAGCCACAGTCGACATAATCTGTTGTTCATACTGATTCTGTAAATAGGAAATTGAGATGTTAAAACTAATATTATAGTCTATGGCAGATTTCGAAAGTACATAGAATCAATCAGATATATACCTGACACTTTAAACTCAAGTACGGCTGTAGAGTTAGAGCATGATTCACTAACAATTGCGGCCTAATTTTCGCAAACAAATGTAATGTTGAGAGGCAAGCTAGAATGCGCTGTGATGAACCAGTCCCTGGAAATATAAATATGCAATTTATATACTGATCACAGCTTTATTTAAGCAATATAAATATTTATTAATTTTATACCCTCAGCGCTCGTCTCCTCTAGCTGAAGTAAACTTTCAATTAGACAATCAACTATTTGCTGACAAGCAAGTAATAGTGATTTAGGTGGTTGATAAATAATTTTTGTAGAATCATCCTTATCTTCTTTAGGTTTGAACAACTGTAAAAAATGTGCAACGGTAATTATTAAATTATAAATGTTAATGGTGTAAGACAAGTGCACTTGGTTTACAATAATTATTACACTTACACTAGTCAACAATTGCTGGAACCACTCGAGGCCAATATCCCGGGAGGATATGACGACGTCAGTGATATTGAGCACCTTCCTAGTGAGCGGGTCGGCGGCGGCGGCCGTCATGTCTAGCGCGCCCGGCCGCGTCGTGTTAGCGCACGGACTAAACCACATGTTTTGAAACACTTCCATTACTAACTTCCTGATACCTTCTTCATCGTTCACTCTCCTGATCATCTTCACGCAAATTTCAGGTATTTTAGGGAATTCCGGGCACTCTATACAGATGTCTTTTAGGATTTTTATCACACGTTTACGCACCGATACACCAGTGTCCTAAAAGGTAAAATTCATTTTTTTAAATTTATCGTTAACACAGTAATACCAACTAAAACGATTGTAAACACATAACACTCACCAATATTCTATTTGACAGCATTCCATAATACTTATCAATAAGGTCGGGCCGGCTGAGCACGAATTTTCCGACGAGGTCGACGGCAGCCTCTCGTACGGCTGTAGACTGATCCAGAAACGATCGGTTTACCCCAATCTGCATATCTGGTCGCGCTAGTACCGCTGGGTCTGCCTCCACAATCATCGCAAGGCACTTCATCGCCTTTGTGCGTATGGCTATTGTGTTTTCACATAAAATTACAAGTATTTTTCTCAGATATCTGTCGAAGCTCTGAGAGAATGACCGCTTTGAAGCTAAGTACTGAGAGATTAGTTCGGCTCCACTATAATCTATATAGGATTGCATAACTTGCACCTGGGTGCCACCTTGATACCTAAACGGTCGAATTTTTTCGAGGAAGAAAGTTTTCCGTCGCTCTATTGTTTTAAACTTCTCAGCGGACACGATCGCACTGTTGGCCAGCTTCTTGTCAGCTTTCAGCCGTCGTCCTTCTTCGTCGCTATCATCTTCAGCATCAGACTCCTCCTCACTAGTTTCGTCCTTAATGTAACGTTTCTTCGACTTACTCTTCGGTTTTTTTGTCGGTGATGTACTTTTCGGTTGTACTACCATATCTCTGTACCACTGCGTAATGTAGAAATGCCGCGCACAATTCCAAGCTTGATCTTTTTGTCCATTGATGGCCAGGTAATCCAATAACACACGCTGCAAGAATTCTGTTCTTTCTTCGTCTTCATCCAGTCCCGAGGTTGCGCTCTATAAATAAAATAAAATAAATTGTAGAATAGGATACGTTATAACATTGAAAAATACACTCACAAAGAAATAGGACGAGTACTACAATATAAAATAAAACAAACCTGTGCTTGGTTGCCGTCTTTCTCCTCCTCGGCGCGGATGTCGCGTACGACGGCGTCCATGGTGGCGAGCTTGGCGCGCGAGTGCACGCTGTCGCGCCGCAGCCGCGCCGCCACCAGCCCCAGGTACTCCAGGGACGCCACGCGCACCGACATCTCCATCGACTTGTCCGACATGTACTTCACCTGCATCAATCATTCTTTACTGGACACCGCCCGCAACAGATTACGCGACACACATATGAACAATCAAATCTAACATACCAGCATAGTTCCTAGTAGACTGAGCAGTAACTCTGTAGCAGGCCACTCTGGTTTGTTCACAGTGGTAAGTAAATCGTGCACAAAATTTTCAAACAAGGGCCTAAAGTCAACTTCTTCGTTTCGACTTCGGCACTTGTTAAGGAATGACGTCAGGAATGTTCCACCCACACTGATTGCTGCCTCGTACTTAGAAATTATCATGAGATCTTTGTCCACTGCATTCTGCAATAAAATTACATAAATAAGGTATAAACAAAATTAATAAGTGAAGGAGAAGTGAAACGTCGTTCGTCACTTACTTTTTTGCTGTCAGATAGTTCAGGATCTTTGTCTTTATCTTGGGATTTGCACAAAGTTTCTGGTAGCGTAACCACGCACTGTACTAGTTGAAGAACAAGCGCAGTCAACATTTGTATCTGTTGGTCCGAACTAAGTTGGAACGATCGGAGGTTGTGCTTAGAACTAGGAATACGTGCTATCGAAGCCAGTATGTCTTCTAGCAACAGCCGCCGGTGTTGTTCGTATTTTGTGAATATCTGAAAGGATTTTTTGATGTCAATAAACAGGATTAAATGTTTTGTTTCGGTAAGGAGTGGAGTCGTAAAGGGTCGGAGTACTGACGGTAGTGACGAGCTTGAGCGCACTGAGCTGGAGTTCGCTGACGTTCTCGACGAAGAACGGCGAGACTCCGACGGTGGAGGCGTGCAGCACGGTGGTGTCGGTGAGCTGGTGCGCCGCGAACAGCTCGGCCAGCAGCGTCACGGACTCGTGCGCGTGCGTGTACAGCTCGCGCGCCGCGCGCTGCGACCCGCC